AATAGAGTTATTCCCCAGATAGTATGTTACTCAAATAGAAACCTGAGTAACTATTCTTGACTCTTTCCACTCTTATACCAAAGGTTTATCTCCTTCTTTTCATCCTACTGCTACTCCCTATTATTCAGGCCCACATCTTTTTTTTTTTGGACTATTGCAACAAGCCTTCTAATTAGCCATTCTGTCTTCACTCCAATCCACTCTCCATGCTGACCTCAGAGTATACTTCCTCAAAAATAAAAATCTAATAAAAAAAAATTTAAATCAGAGCTTTGAACTGGTTGATTTCTACCCCAGATCAGAATCTACACCCCAAGAATCACCTGGGGATCTTATTAAAACATAGATGCTGATTCAGTACACCAGGGGTACAAATGCAAATTCCCAGCGAGGTCAAACCTAAATGAACCGGTTCTCCAAGGTTTGCTTAAAAGGGACCAGGGGTCACCATTGCCCTCAGGATAAAATCCAAACTACTGCAGCCACGGTGAAGTTTTCATTTTCCTAATCGACTATAATCCCTTGCCTTAAAATAACATGACCTGTTCCCTCTTCTGTACCACTGTTTCTTTGATACCAAACTAATATTTCCAATATTTCAATTTTATCATGTTACTACTCAAACCTTAAAAATCATCCAAGACTCTATACTGAGTAACGTAATGGTTTTCCAACTTCCTTACTTTTAGGTGTGAGATCTTTTACTCAAAGGAAACTTTACGGACGTTCAAACAGTAGACCAGATCAACGAGGAGTTCTCTGGCTGTGGGTAAAGAGGTGGGCCAGAAGCTCAGCCCCCTCACCTCTTTTTTACCTCACAGCAACCTCTAAAATAATTACAAAACCACAGTTCTGAAGATTAAAATCTAGACTCTTTTTATATGGTAACCATGGATCTGGCCTAGAATATCTTTTCTGTATCATCTTCTAGTACTATCCCATTCAAAATCTTATTGACAATGCACAAAAGCAAAATACTCTTTTAAACACTGATGCACAAGAGGTTCCTTCTGCCTGTAATGCCCTTCTCCCAACCTTGTCTCTTTGCAGAACTACTAATTCTTTAAGCCTCAACTTAAATATCATTGCCTTTAGAAAATATTTCCATTAAATGTCCTGAGGCAGAGTTAGGTTCTGTCACACCTTCACACTGCTTATAAAAATCTCCTGTATAGCACTATGGTGCAATGAATTCCTTTGTGTGGCCTTTTGCCCATGTTTTTTTTTTTTGGGGGGGTGGGGGGAACTTAGGGAATTTCCCCCAAGTAATTGACAGCCCCTGAGATGCTGGTCTGGCTAGAGAGCCCACAAAGGAGCATGGACTAGCTTAGTAAAGCCCTAGAACACAGAGGCTCAGATGGGGCTTTCTGGTTGGTGAAAACATTTACTTCCAGGAGGGTGATGCATCCCTAGGAACATGGAAGCTGTGTACTGGGACCCTTCCTGGGCCTCATCTTACATGTCTCTTGTATCCTTTCTGGTTATAATAAATCAGTAATTTATGTAAAAACTCTTCAGGAATCCTGTGAGTCACTATAGGGAATTATTGAACTCATTGGCATCTATTTGGCAGTCTGAAAGAATGTGTCTGAGAATGTGAGAGAAGGTACTGGCTGATCTGAAGTGAAGGGAAGAGTGTGACTCCCAGACTTGGCAGCTGGTACCCATGACCTAGCTGGGATGGCTAGGGCTGAGCTGACCAGAACCCGACCAAACAAAGGGGAGATGTTTGACACTGAACTGGTGTTAAGTTGCTGCAATTTGATGGCTTGTGCTGGGCTGGACTTTGCTTGTTTATGGATCCAGATGCCTGAAGTTTCCAAGCAGAACAGAAGATTCTACAGAGAGAAAGGACCATGTTTGTCTACTCAGAGTACTGGTTTGATAGGGATTGGCAAATTAGAAATTGGCTCTCTAAAATGGGGGGAGATAAAGGCATGAAGTGTCTCGCTTACACGCTTTCATGGGTGTGGTATTTGTAAACTGATGGTGAAGGGATGTTAATTTTTGAAGTATAAAAGGGATGGGATAATGGCTAGAAAAGCCAGAGGGTGGTCTGCAGTGTAGTAAATTACCTGGTATGGCTTTTCTAGCCAAAAGTCTTTGTAAACTCTGTGGTGGAATTTGCTGTGAGCAACTGAGGAGCTCCTGATTGTAAAAGTTATCCACCTGGGGTATTTCTGTTGGGCGCAACACAAAGCAATATTTTGGGAGGTTCCTGCTCTCTTTCAGGTGCTTGTTGTTGTTGTTGTTGTTTGTTGTCGAGTCAGCCCTGACTCATAGCGACCCCTCCTTGGGTTTCCGATGCAGTATCACTACGGAAGTAGAATTGCCCAACCTTCCTTCCGAGGAGTGGCTGGTGGGTTTGAACCGCCAGCCTTCTGGTGAGCAGTCAAGTGCCTTAGGCACTATGCTATCAGAGCTCCTTAATTCTGATATTATGATTCGTTGGTTTGGCCAGGCCGGGCTCAAAAGGAGGCCCCTAGAGGCAGAAATCGCTCTGACTGCTGGCTGAGGAAGGACACGCTCCTGCGAGACACACGCTGCTGGGAAAGAGATGCAAGAGACACGCATTGCTAAGAGTGACACCGAGGGACACACACCACTGGGAGAAAGACTGTAAGGGACTGTTGAGAGACGGCGGGCTGGGGAGAGAGACTGAGCATTTTTTCCTGAACTCGAATTGTAGCCTGGGCTTCCCTAATAAACCCCATAATCTGTGAGTTCTGTGTGGCCACTGCAGTGAATTATTGAACCCAGGAGAGAGGTGGAGGGTGCTTTGGAAGGAACAGTTGATGAAAGGGCTGGAGGGAGGCAGCATGCCTGGCCTTGCAGTAACAGGCCTTGGCTTACTGATAGTGATTCTGTCTTCCTCTTGTGGGGTTAGAGGAGGTCAGAATATGTGACCTCCATGCCCTTTTTGCACCACCAAAATGGTAAATTAAAATTATGCTTAAATTATTAATAAATTATTATCTATAATTTTGTATAGATAGTAAGTATAGAATAATTAAGCTATGGGATACTGTAAACTAGGGAATCAAACATAATATGTTGTTGTTAGGTGTCATCGAGTCGTCTCCGACTCACAGCAACCCTATGCACACCAGAATGAAACAATGCCCGGTCCTGTGCCAGCCTCATGATCCTTGCTATACCTGAGCCCATCGTTGCAGCTACCGAGTCAATCCATCTCATTGAGGGCCCTCCCCCTCTTCACTGACTCTCCATTTTACCAAGCATGATATCCTTCTCCAGAGATGACCAAAGTAGGTGAGACAAAGTCTGGGCATTCTCGCTTCGAAGGAAGATTCCGGCTGTACCTCTTCCAGGACAGATCTGTTAGTCCTTTTAGCAGACCAGTTTCTCAGTATTCATCAACACCACAACTCAAAAGCATCAACTCTTCTTCGGTCTTCCTTATTCATTGTCCAGCTCTCACATGCCTTAAGAGGTGACTGAAAATACCATGGCTTGGGTTAGGCTCATCTTAGTCTTCATGGAGACATCTTTGCTCTTTCATCACTTAAAAGAAGTCTTTTGCAGCAGATCTGCCCAATGCAATATGTCTTTTGATGTCTTCACTACTGCTTCCATTGGTGTTGATTGTAGAACCAAGTGATATGAAGTCCTTGACAACTTCAATCTTTTCTCCATTTATCATGAAGAAGTTTACTGGACGAGTTGTGAGGATTTTTTTTTTTTTATATTAAGGTGTAATCCATACTGCAGATGGTAGTCTTCAATCTTCATCAGTAAGTGCTTTGAGTCATAATATACATGAAACTAAAGTAGATCATATAACAACATAATAAATTATGAAGATTGAGACTACACAGAATTAGCTCAGTGATAGGCAACCAGAGGTAAAAGTTCCTAAATGATGAGATGATCTGAACATCCTGATATTATATCTGTGACCTAGATGACAGAAAATTTAAAAAACAAAAAACTATGGATTGTCTACAGGAGGGATCATAAAAAGAAATCAAACATGAGATAGGCCTCGAAGGTAGAATTTAGTTAAGTTTAAGACATAATTGAGAGTATTCCAAGAAAAGAGAACATGAGTGAGAGGAAGAGAACATTAGTCAGGGGCAGGAAAGATTCAACAGCCAGTATTCAGCCTGATCTGAGCACAGATACTCAGTAGGGAGTTGTGGGAGAAAAGACTGAATAGATTTTATGGTGCCAAGTCTCAGAGGGTTTCCAAAGCCAGGCAGAGAACCTTATATATTATGTGCTAAGAAACAAATATCCAAAATACTTAAAAGATCATTTATAAACTTCTAAAATTCTAAGTTAACTGTCTTATTTTGCATTTGAGGAAAATGAGCCACAGTTATGTGCTTTCCTCATAGTTAGGAGTAGTATAAAACAGCCTCACTCAAATTCTTTTTGCCACTTAATGCTACTGCTTCTGAGGCATTTCATTGTAGCAACTCATTCCTCAAAGACAATGGATAAATGTTGCTAGGCTTGGCTGTCTGCCTAGGTTCTAAACAAAATTTGTATGAAGTAGTGCATATTTTTCTTTGAGGAAAAATTATCACATGTATTCAAATAAGAATTAATGACCAAAAGATGTCCTCTGGTTTTAAAACCACTGTATTTTTTGCTTAGTATTAATTCCTTACTAAAAATATACAACTAAAATTTTTGTATGAAACATGTTAACATTTCAGAAAAAAAAAGTTTAAAACTGCACTCTCCATATTGGTTGGGCATAAATTTTAATACTTTAATGACTTTGTCCATCCTTCAAAATCATGCTCAAAGTAAGTATTTCCAGAAAGAGAAATAGTAGAGAACATGCCCATTCTTAATACTTAATATGGTCCCATAAATCTGGAATTGATAGAACCAGTATATTAAGACAAATAAGAAAGATTTAGTCAGAAAAATTCGTTGAAAATGCTTTTTAAAGATTGAGAACCATATGTGTTGTGCATTCCACATTTATGATGGCACATCTGTGACTGCTCACCACTATAACTTACCCCAGTTTTATCACACAAGCGTAAAGTATGAAACGATCCAACAGCAAATAATTCTCCATCTGGAGCCCAGGCAACAGAGGTAATAGGATGCTCATGAGGTTGTGAATTGTACAGCGGGCGGCCATAACTATCCCACACCTACAAAAGGAAATTATTGTTTTTATCTTTTCTAACAGCTACCACATTATTACAAACAAGTCTGTCCTTCCAGTAAATTATCAAGACTTACAAATCATCATTCTATAACATTAGGAATTAAGTATCTTTACTCACAAGCAAAGGGAAAGAAGCAGTATTCCTTGAAACTTAGTATCTCAAAAAGAATTTTATGATAACACTATGATAATATTCAGGTTTTACTGAATCTTTCATTAAACATAAAACCTACCCACTTTAAGTCCTTTTAAATTTAGTATCTTTCACACAGAAAAGACAAAAAAAATTTTAAGTGGGCAAAAGTCTTGATATTTCACCAAAGCAGATATACAAATGGCCAAAAAGCACATGAAAAGATGCTCAACATCATTAGTCTTTAGAGAAATGCAAATCAAAACCACAATGAGATACCATTTCACCTCCACTAGGTTATCTATGATCAGAAAATGATCAAAGTTGGCAAGGATGTGGAGAAATTGGGATTCTCATCAAGTGCTGGTGGAATTGTAAAATAGTGGAAAACTTCTGCAGTTTCTCAAAAAGTTAAACATATAATTACCATATGATCCAGCAATTTCATTTCTATATAACCAAAAGAACTGAAAGCAGGAACACAAACAGATACTTGTACACTAACACTCACTGCAGTACTATTCACGATAACCAAAAGGTGGAAACAACCTGAACATCCATCAATAGATAAATGGATAAACAAAACATGGTCTACACATACAATAGGAGCTCTAGTAGCATAGTGGCTAAGGCACTTGACTGCTAACCAGAAGGCTGGCGGTTCAAACCCACCAGCCACTCCTCGGAAGGAAGATGGGGCAATCTACTTCCGTAGTGATACTGCCTCGGAAACCCAAGGAGGGGTTGCTATGAGTCGGGTACACTCGACGGCACGTAACAACAACAAAACATACAATGGAATATTACTTAGCCATAAAGAGAAATGAAGTCCTGATACATGCTGCAACATGCTGGCAGATCTACAGCAACCAAAGTTTATTAGTGGTTACTATGGCATGAGTCCTCAGGAGGCACCATTGCTTAGAGGACACTAACTTTCTGTTAAGGATAAGGGAAAAATTTGGAAATGGATAGTGATGATGGAGAAGATATAAAGGACATAATTAATGTCACAGAATTGTACATGTAAAAAATGTTGAAACAGCAAATTTTTTGTTACGTGTACTTTAATTATAATTTTTTAAAATTTAATATTTTAAAGTTCTGTAATTTTCAGGTCTTCGCTTAAAAATTTTCTTGGCCAGTAAGTGCTCTACCAACGTTCTTTACAAGTGTTTATTTCAAGTAAATTTCTTCTAACTACTGTTACATTCAATCTTATTCTTCCCTACAAACTATCTTGGTCTGAAACTGTTCAACCAGTTGGATTGATTTTTTTTTAATTTATTACATACCAAAAAAAAACTCACTGCCATCGAGTCAGATCTGATTCAAAGCAACCCCTCCTTGGGTTTTGGAGGCAGTATCACCACGGAAGTAGATTGCACAATCTTCCTTCCAAGGAGTGGTTGGTGGGTTTGAACCACCAGCCTTCTGGTTAGCAGTCAAATGCCTTAGGCACTACGCCACCAGAGCTTCTGATTTATTACATAGATTGATTTACATTGAGTCACTAAAACTAGGAGCTATATTTATGTTCCCACTTTGTAACCAAATCCTATAGGTCAATGAGATAGTCTTTATAAAAGCAGCAATTTAAAATATCAGTTAAAATAAGTATCAGTTAAAAGTATAAAATAACAATTTGCTATATTCTTAGCATTAAAAGACATGCATAAAGTGAGTAACTAAAAGAATATTTGCATATGCTAAATACTTTTCACTCAAATTCTATTCTTTCAACTAGGTGATAAATTCAAACATTACATACCTTATATTTACAGTCTTCACCAGCAGATAAAATAAGGTCATTAACTGAGTTCCAATCTACTTTTAAAATAATGCCATCATGAGCTTTCCACTATGAGGGAAAAAGATATTAATTATAACTCTAAGAGCATAGAAAAGTATTTTCTATAATAAAAGAAACTCTGTTTCTTTCTAATGATTCTTCATTTGCTTTCTCCTCAGGAATTCCTATCTGCCTTTTATAGCCATTGTGCAATATGTCATTTGCTTGTGTCAGTTCCGATTTACACTAATGAAAGCACCTAGCACCATGCCAGCCACTAAAGCTCACACCTTCAAAATTTCCTCAATTGCCTATACTCCAGATGGAAAATCACTTGCAGTTGAATTATTTCAAGCTTGACATTTATGTGATAACACTGGAATGAAAGTATCATATACTCTAAAAATGTTACCTGAATCCAAATCTTGCTGTCATCTCTGTGCAGGTGATCCTAATACTGATACTGCTTTCTAGCTTCTTACTAATTCTTTTTTCCATCAACATCTTCTTTAATATTCTATTCCTTCTCTTCTGCATAGTCTTCTAAGCTTCCCTCTCTCTACCATCATGTGTTCTGGTTCACAGCTGAGCTACTCTGAGATCTTCCTGCTACATTTACCATATAAGAAAAGGATGATATTTTACACTAATACATATACATTCTTAAGTCATCCAGAAATTGCCAGTCTAGAAAGTAAGCAAGAATGTCTTTCTGCTCTTAAATTGATGTGCCCATTAGCTATTACCACACATGTATTTAAAAGTTATCTTTCAGCATGTTTTGGCAGAATAATAAAACTAAGAAAGAATCAACTTTCCTTGAAGACTATAAAGTACATTTTAAAGCATGAGCCAATTAATGCCATATAGAAGGCTGACGGAGTTTAAGGGCACTCTCTATAAACCCTTCCCAACCTATTGTTCTTCTTGTATAAAGAATAAAATATTAAATTAGGGTAAAATACGAAAAGAAATAAAATAAACCAAACTCACTGCCATTGAGTCAATTCCGACTCAAAGGAAACCCCATTGGGTTTCCAAGGCTGTAAATCTTTACAGAAGCAGACCGCCTCATTTTTCTTCTGCGGAGCAGCTGGTGGGTTCCAACCACTGATCTTTTGTTTAACAGCTAAATGCCTTAACCGCTACACCACAAAGCTCCTTAGGGTAAAATAAAGTCTAAATATAAGCAATAATTCATAAATTTTTTTATTCAAGATATATAAAAGTATACATTTCAAAAACAAATGTTTTGATAATGTAAGTTAAAAAGCAATAATTCCCACAATTGTCTGTCACATTGATCCAATTCCCAGAAATAAACTTCAAGGAAAAATATTACACACACAGTGAACGTCAAGAGTTTCATTCTAGTCCGTGCTTTCTCCCACCCCTATAAAGGCCAACTCCACACGGCGCCACAGTAGTGGCCTTGTTCTCTGCCTTTCTTTTCTGCTTGTGCTGACACAGCCCAGCTCTTGCCAGCCTCCAGTCCACTGTCTTCTTGAGCCCAGACACCATGCCTTCAATTAAGTTGCAGAGTTCTGATGGAGAGATATTTGAAGTTGATGTGGAAATTGCCAAACAATCTGTGACTATCAAGACCATGTTACAAGATTTGGGAATGGATGATGAAGGAGATGATGACCCAGTTCCTCTACCAGATGTTAATGCAGCAATACTAAAAAAGGTCATTCAGTGGTGCACCCACCATAAGCATCACCCTCCTCCTCCTGAGGATGAGAACAAAGAAAAGAGAATAGATGATATCCCAGTTTGGGACCAAGAATTCCTGAGAGTTGACCAGGGAACACTTTTTGAACTTATTCTGACTGCAAACTGCTTAGACATCAAAGGTTTGCTTGATGTTATGTTACATGCAAGACTGTTGCCAACATGATCAAGGGGAAAACTCCTGAGGAGATTCACGAGACCTTCAATATCAAAAATGATTTCACTGAAGAGGAAGAAGCCTAGGTACGCAAAGAGAACCAGTGGTGTGAAGAGAAGTGAAATGTGCTTGACACTAAACACTGTAAGGGTTATTCCAAATACTAGTTGCACTGCTCTGTTTATAATTGTTAATATTAGACAAACAGTAGACAAATGCAGCAGCAAATCAATTGTGTTAGCAGAATATTGTCTTCATTGCATGTGTAGTTTGAGTATGGATTCCAAAACCTATAACTGATTTTCTTCTAGTGTGATCAAAAGTCGGTTTTTTTTGTTTGTTTGTTTGTTTGTTTTGTTTTGTTTTTTTCTTTGCTCTAAATAAAACTGAACTGTGGGTTCTCTATAGAAAGTGGCATTTGGATTTCCCTCTTTGTAAAGTGATTTCTGCCTAGTTTACTATCTAGTTAACTTTAGTTTAGCAACCTTTTAAAAGCTGGCATTGTAAATAAAACAACTTGCAGAAGTTTGCTGAAACAGAATTAACAAAGTATTATCTTATTCATGAGTTGGAAAATGAAAAAGGGCTATTTGAGGTAAATGATGTGAGTGTGGTTATAAGGACAGTCTTCTAGCTCCCTAGAGTTAAGGAGTACCACTGATGGGGTTAGCTTATATGTAGCAAGGCTCCCTTAGCTGAACTTGAAGGCTTGTGTTGGTATTTTAATCCTTTCAACTTTAATTATTTGGTTAGAGACCCAGTTACTCTACCCACTGAGTTTTTTGGGTCAGGGAAGAAATGTAACTAGGCAGTTTGTTAACTTTTCAATAAAAAAAGACACTTAACTCCTGAAAAAAAAAAAAAAAGAGTTTCATTCTAGAGTTAAAAAACAAATACTTGCATAGTCAAAAGTTATGAACAAAATATGATTTAAATTTTATAAGTTAAAATATCAAATTACATTCTAAAGATATAATTTAGGATATCAATTTATATATTAAACATACATTTACATAATACATATATTATTTAAATAGTCAATATTCAATTACTACAATTCCTATGTGCAAAGAGCTACTTGAAGGCAGAAATTTCACTTTGAGTGTCTCACACCTAGCAGTGTGCCAAATAATAGGTACCCACTATATTTTTAAAGAATGAATAAATAAACAAAAGTCTCCTTCCTATAAAAAGTTCTCAGTATGTAGAAAAGATCCTAGAAAGTCTAAAAGGAAATGAAGTGTTCAAAAGTACACTTTTGAACCTCGGTTATGAATTCCGTAAGAATTAATTATACATTCTTTTTGTGGACAACCTCGGTTTGAAAATGTGTTTATGCTCAAGAAGAACTGCTGAAGTTTAGTTTTCCAAAAGGAATACATAATTTCCATTACATTACTAATTATACTTTAACTCTTCTTCCACTAGCTGAATTTTGGCAATGGGTACTTTCTCTTCTCTCCACTCTCTCCTGAGTCCCTAAACCACAATTTAATTCATCAGTGGTGATATAAGCCCCTTCCTGAGTCTCATATATAAGCTAGTAACAAGTATCTGAACAAATTCACATAACTGTATCTATAAACTAAAAGATCAATCAACTTATCTGGTTTTGCTGTATAGCAGATTTTATTATTTTATTTATAGCAGATTTTCAGAGTGTAAACTATTGGTATGGAAGGACTTTGCCTAAAGGCAATCAGATCTAGTCCTCTTTTCCAGCTTCATTGCCCAAATTCTTTATCTTTAGTTGCCTAAAGGCAAAAACTTACATCTTCAATTTCTTTTGTTTGTCCCCAAAGTTCTTAGCAGAGTGTTCTACACACAGATAAAGTGTACGTGCATGCTGACTATTAAAAAAAAAAAAAAAAACAACCGAAATTACTGCCATGGAGTACATTCCCACTCACAGCAACCCCCACTGGTTTTTTGAGGCGGTAAATCTTTACAGAAGTAGATTGCTCAATCTTCCTTCCACAGAGTGGCTGGTGGGTTTAAACCACCAACCTTCTAGTTAGCAGTCAAATACCGTAGGAACTACGCCACCAGAACTCCATTTTAGGCAAATATACGTAGGTAGTTCCCAACTTAGGAGGCATTTGAGTTACCACAAACCACACTTACAAGCATCTGTTTTTGTTTGTTTGTACATCTTATCATTAGTAATACATACTACACACAATGTTGCATCATGTAATCTGCTGATGTTATCATTCTCAGAGGCTCATTCGCAGATGTCTGAAGACTGGATTTATAAGGATACTGATAAGAAAAGGCAATAATAATAAAAAAAAAAGGAGGCACTAAAGTCAGAGCCAACTTATAAGAGTCCTCAGAATGGAGAACTACCTATATAGCACTGTATATACATACAAAAGTTAATAATGACTTGGACTTCCAGTAAGATGGAGGACTAGGCAGACAAGCAACACAGACCCTCTTCAACAAAGAAAAGAAAAGCCAACTGACAGAGATACCAAAGATAATCCTGGAGCCTTGAGCTCTGAAAGGAACTATACAGAAGTGGACTCGGCACCAAGGTGAAAAACCTGAACGAAAACAGTGAGTACAGAGATGGTCAGAGCTGTGGACTGTCAGCTAGTCTGATGGGACCAACAGCCTGAATATTTCCAAGTGGTGGTGGGCCCTGAGAATTGACCTAAAGATCATCCCTGGTCACCAAGGGCTGCGGGGACGACTGCACTGGTGGTATATGACTACGAAGGGAAACAGCAAGGAGGGAGACAACCTGAGCTGTTGACTTTCCACGGAAAGGAGGGTGCAGCCATTTTGATTGTTTACACACAGCAGGCATTTTGGATGTTTAAAGTGACTGAGGGTGCACTCATTTTGAATGTTTACAAGCAGTGACCATTTTGGATATTTAAAGTGACTGAGGGTGCAGCCATTTTGAATGTTTACAAGCAACAACCATTTTGAATTTTAAAGTGATAGCATTCTCATTCAGATTCCAGGGACCTAAGAATAGGCTCTGTTTGTCAAAGTCGGCAGGTACATACAAGATGCGGACAACAGGAAAGGAGACAGGTGGTATGTGTATAAGTGCTGTCAACCAGTGCATTGGGGAGCACAGCACAGTACCCTGTTTGTGTAGATACATATAAAGAAAACAAAAATTGTGGGCAAGTCACTCCAACACACAATTGCCTATTAAATA